AAATCTCCCAGAAGGGAGGACGTGTCCCCTTCCCAGGGACAAGCAACCCTTCAAGCTGGATTTTTTTTTGCAGTTGCTTGTCCTCTTGTTTTAAGCCTCGCCAAGAGCCAGAGAGAATTGATATATCCAAATATACCAGACTTCTCCCAGAGTCCCTTCACTGGTTTGCTGCTGATGTATAGACAGATGATCTCATGAGACCTCTACCACATTCGGTCACCGTGTCTCATCTATCTTAAGTGCATATACAAGCCGCGATTACTACTGCATCCGAGTGCCTCACGTCTTGAATGTACTTATCCTCCCATCGGTCCTGCGAGACAAGGGACTGCTATTGTACCTCTTCCAGGGAGGACGCGCAGGTTAAACGGACTGATCGCAGAGGATATCCGGGACGTGGCAACGTCGGGATCCTCTAAGCATCTCCCCTGTCTCGTGACTCTGCCTTGTGAAGCACTGAGCCGGTACTTACCCCACAAATCACAGCTCAGACTCGGCTCGGGACTCTGGCTTCGCACGGGATCTAGCTTTCAGCACCCAGCCTAATCCTGAGATTAATGAGGGATTCCCGCTATAAAGACCTCTCTATCAGACCTCTCCCGAGTAAATACACCATCAAGCCAAACTGTACTGTTTTCCTACCCTGGCAGCCTCTGTCTTAAGCCTTACACCAGAATCCATCATACAACAGCGATAATCAAAAAGCAATTAGACAAAACCATGGCAGAAAAGTCCATCCAAGGGTTGTTAAGGATGACGACTTGGATGCAGCCTCTGGCTCAGGACGTCTGCGTGTGGCAGACCAGCGCTGGCCAGGCAGATGAGCCAGCAGAGGTATCCACAGGCACACATCTAGTTTTTACCTTTCCTCGTGTCCCTGGCCCCGTCACGGCAGGATAACCGTGCTCGCTGTCTGACCAGAGTCTTCAGTATCATTACTGCTAAGCCATGCCTGCTCCTCCTGGGACAGAGGCTGCCGAGCCCTCATCTCTCCTGGGAGAGCCCTCGCTTCAACTGCTCAGCATGTTTCCCGAGCTGAATGGGAGGGATGATGATTCTTGTGTCTGCAAGCCGGGATAAATATCCCCCGGTTAGTTCAACACGGTGCCGCTCGCTCTGCTAGCAAGTGGCTCCGTGCGCTTCGGCGTTGCTCTGCGCCCAGCAGCTCGGGACGCCGTGCTTTTTCCTAGCCAAGAAATCCCAGCCTTCGTCCATCGAGAGATGAAAGCTGGTCCGACAACATGGCAATTGCCATGACAACATCAGAGTTACCCCCCAAAATAAATAAAAAGCCCAGTAACTATGGAAACACCTGAGTGACCAAAAACAGATTATTAGCTAGAAGACCTCTCCACAGTTTACAGATGGCATCGGCACCACGAGGCTGGGGACTGTAATACATCTGAAGCCTTGGAAACAAAGAGATGCTCGGCACCTACAGGTACAAACACAAAAATACGTGGGCACACACAACACTGCCTTTCAGACCGCGGCGTCCAAGTCCTCTGCACAACTTACATCTCCTCTGGAAAGATGCCGCTGCCTTCCTCATAGATGTTGCATAAGGACCATGGTTATCTAAGTTCTTCTCTCCCTCTTTGCCCTCCTCCCTCCTTTTACCCTTCCAAGGATGCCTCTCTTGACTGCCATCCTAATGGTCTTGGCACCGCAGGGGTGCCAAGGGGGGACAGAGCCGCCCCATCCATGCCAGAGCTTGGCTTCCCGGCACTGTTTCGGTGAGCTGCATTTTGAAGCCCCAGTGCCTGGCAGCTCCGGTGGCAGTCACGCTGCCAGCTGGAGCATCCGAGCCCAAGGCAGAGCCCCAAAGCAGTTAAGCCTCCTCCGCCCAGGCAGAAGAAGCTGTGACTACACCAGCTCCCCTTCTTGTTCCACCTCAACCTGTTCAGCTGCATGCACAGGAGTTGCCGTGGGTTAGACCAGCATTACTGGGAGAAGAAGTAAACAAGGACAGAGAGGGGTGAGGCAGAGGGACAGAAGATAGGCTGGTAGCACATCCAGGTTGGACTGGCCAGAGGTTCCCAAAACCCTTCTCCAGAGCCAGCATTCCGCTTTTGCTCCCGGCAGGAGGATGAGGATGGGCACAGGCAGGGCCAGCCACTGTGCAAGGCTCCGAGTGGCAATGGAGGCACCGACAGGGCCGGCGCTTGTGTGATTCACGAGCAGAAAACTCTCTTGCTCACATTCGCCTGGCTCTTCAGTTATACAGCAAAAATGCTTCCTCCTCCCGTCCGCGGCGAACTCTTCCAGCCTCCAAACCAAACAGAGCCTCAAAAACAGGCTTAACGGCTCCCATTACATGGCAACAACTGCAGACATGAAAATTCAGCAGAGCTTACCCAGACCAAACCGCTAAACGCATTGCGCCGGACCAGAGCAATGCACGGGAGAGAAAACAACGGAGTGGTCAAGGGAGCGGCACTGGCTGGAAAAGGGTCTTGAGTGAGATCAGTCACAGGGGAGCCGGGCTGCTCTCAGTCTAAATCCTCTGAAGCACCCGACCGCACGCTCCCCCGGTGAGCACACACTCTTATTTGCTCCATTTCCCACCAAGAGCCACACAGTAGGTTTACAGCTGCCAAGAAAATAATAAAGCCCGTGAAGTGCCTTTGCAGAGAGGAACACTCGCCGGTGTTAAGCGTGGGGACTGGCTCCTTCAGCTACCGGTCTGTCCGTGCCTGGCACAGACAGCGCTATCAAAGTCTCTCCCCAGCGACGTCGGTGAGAGCTGCTTACCCATCCGCTATGTAAACCCTTAAATTATGCACCAGCTTTCCCTTAACCAACTCTCCCTTGTCCTTTTTCTCCACTACTCCAAGCGAGACGGAGAAAGACGGCAAGAAAGAACTGGAGGCGGCTCGCTCCAGACTTCCCCAGGGAGGAGCAGCGAGGCAGACCTACAACCGCAAGAGGGGTCGGTAGCTAGTTCTGGGTCCCCGTTCGCTCCTGGCTCTCCAAATTAGAGTCTATCCTACTAGAGAATGGGTTACTGTCTCGGCATCTGCTATAGCACCTCCGCGCACCTGCCCTGGCTCTTATTTCAGTCTCCATGCTTCCAATTTTCGGCTCTCCTATGTGCGCGGAATGCAAAACGGAGAAGTAGAGGTCCCCCTTGGTGGCTTGGCAGACCCAGAGAGAGAAACGGAGGAGCTGCCTATGGAGACGGGCAGCCACCGAAGTTGTCTCCGGCCACCTCTGGGCTCAGCACCCTGCATCAGCCGTGGAAGCCAGACTCAAGTAAATCTCTGTGATCATTTGTTCCCTTTGAGTTTTGAAAGCAGAATGCCTAATCATGGCCAAAATCAGGTAAGAGTTGCTGCTGCAAATTACACAGCGCCACAGGTAATTTCTGATTAGCTCACTCTTCCTCTCCCGGTGCATCCTCAGTTTCCATAGCAGCTAAGTCCTAAGTAAAATGGAAACATCTGGTTCAAGCGCAGGTAAAGATTCCCTGGGGAAAGAAACCTGCTGGATGGCAGCAAACACAGAAAATCGCCCTCGCGAAAGACAGAGGCATCGTAAGCCGGGAGCCTGCTTAGGAGAGGATGGATGGCATGGGGGAGAAGGCAGCGAGGGGCACGGGAGTGGGAAAGGAGGGTCCTGGGGGAGCAGGAGGGGATGCGGGAAGGAGAGTGGGGCTGCAAAGAAAACACGGTGTGTGAGAAAAACAGGCGGTGAGGAGGTAGAGCGAGATAAAAACACATTGCCAGGGTAGAAAAGGGGAAGAGGAAAAAGAATAAAAGGCTTCAAGGTGGGAGCGCATGGACCGCCTCAACCATAAATGCCACCTGATGGTGATAGATACGGCTACAGCAACTTCGATGCCACGGATAAACGCTCGGGGCCAGAGAGGAGCACATGGATCTGCACCGTGCATTTCGTCATTCATCCACGGACGGACCCCGACCGAAGGACACCATCTCAGAGGCACGACCACCTAAGGCGGATAAGCCAACACATGCACTGGTGGGGGCGGGGGAATGGTTTTTACAGAGGCTCCTGTCAAGGAAAGGGGCTGAGATGCCGTCAACTAGACTTGCCCTCTGCATGGGCTACAGAGAGTGATGGATCTGGCCCAGCAGTTTGCTACAGCGCAGACAAATAGCTAAAAATCAATGGAGCTGCACCGAGACACCGCAGCCATCGTCGGGCAGCTGAACAGAGAGAGCAGACATGGCCATCCATCACTGCCGCTGCCGCGTCGTCTCCTTCGGCTGCCGGATAGCCTAGCCGGGGTGTCCCTGAGGAGAACTTGAGGCAGTTGTGTCGGACAACGGCCCACTTTGGTCAAACCTCAGGGGAAAAATGACTGAGGCTGGACTGAAGCGCTTAGATGGGATCAGAGGATCAGAGCCAGGCATTGCCCCTTGGCAGGGTGGCTCATCCCACCCAAAACCCCCAGATCTCACCCCCAGCTCACTGGTGAGAACCTTGCAGTCACCTGGGAGTAACAGGGCGGCAAAACACAAAGCAAATGCCAAAAAGCAGCTGGGAAACTGTTTTGAAAGAATATGCTCCCAAATGGGCACGTATGGGAATTTGCTTCCCAGCAGTCACACCCACACAGTTCTGCTCAGGTTTTGCTTACCAATTAACAAGGCCACCAATTAATGCTTCATGTGTTTTCGTGCTCATTTGTACTATCTGCAGCCTTCCTTTGAAGCAACATGCAAGAATTCCCTGAAAACTTTTCCAAGTAGGGCCGGACAAGCACCTTCAATCCCTAAGCACAACCACCCCAACCTGGTACCTACTGCCAGTCCTCCACACGAGTAAAACCATAAGCTCCTCTCCCAGACCACCAAGATGGATTTTTCTCCCCCAGAGTCATCAATTCCAGCATTAAGTCACATCTTTTCGGCACGCATCGCCTTCTCTTTGCAACTGAAGTGCCGCCTGAACCAGCCAACAACGCCTCCCCAGCCGCTCGCAAATGATGCTGTGCCCTTCCCAGAATATTTCTGGGAATGTTTGGCTCTTACCTTTGGGCGAGATGTGTCTCCAGGTGATTGTTGGATCTGGCCTGCCCGTGGCTATGCAGGTGAGGCTGACGTTGCCGCCCTCGTTGATGGAGATGTCAGAAGAGATCTCAGTGATTTTTGGAGACACTGCAATGACACAAAGAGGGAAATGAAAATGCTACCAGTTCTGCTACAACTCAAATCTCGAAACGTGGGTGAGGGGGGCTGAATTCCCTTCCTCCCTCCACCTCGACAAGCTATGCAGCAGCCCATCACTCTCATCTGACTTGACAGGAACACACAGGGGAAAGAGGAGGTAAAGAAGACAGGGTTGAAGTGGGAAGAAATTGTAGCCAGAAGGGATTTGGACATTTTAAGGATGCTCGAGACAGCTCCTCCTCAGCACCTCCATGGTATGTGAGAGGGTACTTTTCTTCCCCACCCTGTTTCCAGTGCTCATCCTGTCCTCCCAGCCATGAAGAACCCTTTCCAGCAGAGTTGCATCCCACTGAGAAAACATCATCCACCCCCTTCAAACTCCCCCAAAGGCGGCAGTCGCCCTCGCACAACAAGAGCACCCCAAGCACGCACGTAGCTTGCAGCTCTTTCTGCAGCCATGCAGGCTGTCTGTCATGCCCTTGCAACCAGAAAAGGACCAAAAGGCCCTGGGCATGAAGATGACAAGCCTACCGAGGAGCCTCTACCACTGTGCCAAGGAAGGGAAATTCAATCAGGATGAAAGCCATGCCGCTGCATTGGCAGTGCCATCGTGAACACTCAGGAGCAGGTCAGATACAAGGGGCGGATTCCAGACCCAAAGGAAGGACACACGTACAGGACAGGGGGTGATGAGAAGGGGGGCCGAGAAGGAGAAGGGATGAGGAGCAAGCAGGGAGCACCCGGCTCCTGCTGCTGCATGAGCGGAGGATGCGAGGGAGGGCTGGGGTTTCTCTGAGCTCTACGACAGGGCTGTACGAGAAAAACGATCGGCTGCTGCTATCAGCCTGCACCTGCAGAACAAAATAAAGACCATCACCTTCCTCGGTTTATTTTTTTCAGGCCATTCTCCGGAGCCTAGCAGCGGATTGGCACCCCGCTGCGGCACTTTGCAGGAGAGTCACAAATCACTTGCAAAGCATCCTGCTCCTACCACCCTCCCTGGGCGAGCCCCGTTCATCCACCCGCCTGAAACTGCAGCCCAGATTGTCTCAAACACCCCTATTCCTGACTTGGACTCTGTTCCCGAGCATCCCTCCCCTGCCTCTCCCCACCTCCCACACCTTCCCGGGGCTGCGCCGAGCTGGAATGACTGCAATGGCCTTGCACGCATTGCCTCTGCTGTGCAGGTAAGTAATTTATTGATCCGTAAAGCACTCCAAGACGCTCTGGAAAGGATTATGTCATGCCAGTGCCGTGCAATAAAATAAAAAATGATGGATTTTTTGTGAACATGAGGGTGATTTAGGGTTTGTAGTTGGAAGTGTAGTTAAAGTACATTTTAAGTGGAAATCAAGGTGGATAATGAATTATTCTCTGTTTTGAAGGGCTTCTGGGAGTTCATTTTTTTGCTGCTCTGGGCACGACGGCTAATCTGCTAATCGCGCATCGGAGGACAACTACGGATCAGACGCTCCCAGAACACCGGGGCTCAGAGGCAGGACAGCGGAGGGCATGAAGATGACACCAAAAGAAATATTAATATGCATCAGTGTCATTAAGCCCAGTGGAAGGGGACAGCACCCGCCCTCCTGGGACTGCCCGCCCGCAGCTGGGAGATGCTCTGCCAATAACCAGGTAGTCCACTGAGGAGATGCAATTAATTACAAGTGCGATTGCCCCGCCGTGTTCCTGGCAAGGCTGGGACCGCTAGCCAGGAAACCCATGTGTGTTTTAAAAAGACCGAGCTTGCGGTCTGGACAACAGAACCAGGCCAAGGAGGTATTACCGTTGCCATTTCAGAGAGGTGGAAAAGAGACAAGCGGAGGCACAGTGCATCGCCCGCTGTCGCCTGGGAAGAAGCAATACCTTCCAGCTGTAAGTCCCGACAAAACTAGAGCAATATTTATCATCTTCAACGCGACGCTCGCTAAATCACAGAGGAACCCTTCTGATGTTTTTAACTACTGAATCCGCATCAACCCAATTCAGCTTGTTTTGCAGAGCTCACTGAGACGTTAAAAAAAAAGAAAAAAAAAGAAAAAAATCAAGTCAGACCGCACCACGACTCCGGTACCATGCACACGGATTTGCACCTGCCCGGGCGAGAGACAAAAATCTCTAATCAAATCAACTGACCAGATTCTAAAACATAATTAAAACAAATTAAAGTTGGATTTCCCAAAACACAAGCGTTACATCCTCATCCTCAGTAATACAGCAGGAGATCTGATTTTTGCTCAGATCAGGCAGAGGAGAAGAGATGATTGCGTTGCTGCTTGGCCGGGCAACGGGAGACTTTGCAGCTCTTTCCGACAAGTGCAAAAGCAGCTCGAGCCGCTCGTGTGCTGGGGAAAAAGCCCACCATGGCCCGGCGAGCTCGGGACACGCTTGGGGAGAGACAATTTACTGCTGCCCACCTGGGATGAGATGAGGCAGGAATGGCTGGGAAGTAAACCAGAGCGACAACGTCAGCGAAGTCATTAGCTAACCCTTAAATTAAATGTGCAGTGGTAGGATTTAACACGACAGTTATTGTATGCTAATTAAACGTTTGAATAATTAACCACACGAACTACTTAAAACGCCTTTCTGGAGACCGAACAGGTATGTTCTAAGGCTTTTACCACACTAGGGAGGGAAACCTTAATAAATAAGCAGTCGCGAGTAGATATTTAATATTATTTAACGGTCACCGGTGCTCCCGTTCCCTCGGCATTAAAATGCTTTCACCGTCGGTTGGCATTTCTACAGCAGTGGGGTAGAGGAGAAATTTCTTATGCCGAATGAGGGACGCAGATGGAGCTGTGCCCCTACGGGAATGAATAAATAAATAAAGCTAAATAAATGCAGGCTTCCCAGGCGGGAACCCTCTCCTTGTGGGCAGTCCTTTTGTGTTCAGCATCTCTCTCGCTCAGGAGTGATTAAACATGGCAGTGTTGGCCAAGCTGCTCCAGTGACACAGCGCAGATTTCCCCAGAGGCAGGCTGGTGTTTTATCGATCTGACGACTTCTTTTTTTCCCCTATCCTTGCCGTAATGATGGGAAAGGTCTCTGGGCTGCTCTCAGCTGCTGCAGCCCCCTGCCAGTGCCCAGGGGATGCCCCCAGTTTGCCCGGACTCGACACCCGCTCGCACAGGCGGAGTCCCGGGGACAGAAAGCAGCTTGCTTAAATATTTAACCAAACCATATGGTGCGTTACACGTTGGAGGGTGTTCAGCCAGGTGATATATGTCTTTACGGATCCAAGCATATGCGCTTGCCTACACAGATCCATTCCCTGGTGCACAGACACCCTCCTGCCACTGGCACAGACTATATCCCCGCTATGCTTTCACCTCCAAACACCCATCCCGGAGCCAGCACAGGTGCAGATGCTCACGCATCCCATGTACGTACCCCACGGCAGCTGAACGCAGATCTTCATGTCCTTATGCTTTCACCTCCAAACACCCATCCCTGAGCCAGCACAGGTGCAGACGCTCACGCATCCCATGTACGTATCCCATGGCAGCTGAACGCAGATCTTCATGTCCCGGGGACGTGGCGGGGCTCCCCCCTGCACCTACACCCCCTCCTCCACTGTCTCTCCCATGGCACCCACTGCGGGACTGATGCTTTCCCCGATTATTCCTCCAGTTGCTTTTTATAGTTTGTCCTGATTTGCACAAACATCCTCACCTCTGCCTCCTCGCTCAGGCCCTGCCATCTCCTGGCATCGTTACTTCCCCATCCATTGTCCTGGCGTGTAATGACCATGTTGCTTGCCTGTGCTTTCCTCTCCCCGACACTGTGTCCCTGCGGCTGGGCTCCCTGGGCACCCCAAATTTCAGCCACACATCAGGCGAGAGGCAAGGAGGCCCCCGAGTATAAGGTGAGTGTGAATCTGGAACAACCTCTGTGCCAGAAACAAGCAAAGAGACCTCGGATGAGCCTCACCAAGTTGGGTGCCTTCAAGGAGTAATTGCATTTATTTTGCCTTAACCACCTCCTTTCTACCCAGTTTTGGGAGCCAAGCAAGTAGTGTAGAAATACACGTGTGACCTTTTCAAAGCTGCAAATCCCTTCTCGTGCAGGAGCCGGGCAGAGCGGGCGCTCGCCCTAGCAAAGCATCCTGCATGGCGCTGGACTCACAGCGCCCAGCAGCAGCCTGTGAGCGAGCAGGCTCTCCTGGAAAGCCTAGCAGTGCCTTGCCTCCCCCTCATAAAACATGCAAACCTCCATCTTCCAGCATGAGCAACATCTGCTCCAGATCAAAGGAAACAACAAAGAGCAACTATAAAAGTGTCTCGAAGAAAGAAAAAGAGGGAGATCCAGACTTGCGTTCTGCAGGCGATCTGTGATGTGTGCACTGGCAGCTTCCCGAACATCAGGCTCCCGCTGCTCCTGCTTTTAATAACAGCCTCTCACCGCTGTCACCCATAGACTTCTCCGTGTTTTACAGACTGCTGCTACCACGGGTCCTGCCTCTGGGACTTGGAGAGGGGGAGCCCCGGGCACTCCAGCCCTCCTCGCGGCGACGCTACAAGTCAGACAGAGCCCACCCTCCCGGGCCAGCAACGGAGGGGTCTGCCAAAGCCAGCCGGGACCGGGCACAAGGCAGAGACCTCAACATCGGGCTCCTCATCTGACTCCTCTGGGTTGTAACCAGAGCAGTTTGCCTCTCCCCTGGCAGCAGGTGCCAGGTCGGGGAAGGTACGGCACTCTGGGTGCCGCAGTGCCAGGCACCTCCATTGTGCCTTCTCCCTCTTTTGTGTTCAAAACCTTTCTGCCTTTTTAAGGAAGGCAGAGAGCAAATTGAGAGACCTGCGCCTTCAATTATGGGTGTATTATAATGGGCTTTTAAATCAGGTTGTGCTGCTCTAACGCAATCATAATTAAGAGAAAAGCAGAGAGGGCTTCATCCTTCCATCATATCAACACAAATCAGGAGCCGTATTAAAGAAGTCCACGGGGTGCGAGGAAGGGCAAACGCAGCCTTAGAGCCTGCTTCTAGCTACACTGCTCGGTCACGTAGGCTTG